AGATATGGTCGATGAACACGATCACAAAATCATCAAGGTGAGATTTGAATACTCTGTTCATCAGGTCCATGAAAACTGCAGGGGCATTGGTCAAACCGAAAGGCATAACCGTAAACTCGTAGTGACCGTACTGAGTCCGAAACGCAGTCTTAGGGATATCCTTGTCCGCTACTCTTATCTGATGGTACCCTGACCTCAAGTCAACTTTGGAGAACACTCCCGCGCCACGTAGTTGATCAAACAAGTCATCTATTCTTGGAAGAGGGTATTTATTCTTAATGGTAACTTGATTCAGCTCCCGGTAGTCGATACACAACCTCATACTCCCGTCCTTTTTTCTTACAAACAACACCGGAGCTCCGCAAGGCGATGCACTTGGCCGGATATAACCCTTGTCAAGGAGTTCTTGCAACTGAGCCTTCAATTCTTGCATTTCTGGCGTAGCCAAACGATATGGGGCTTTAGAGATGGGTGCAGTGCCCGGCACGAGATCCACTGAAAACTCCACTTCCCTAGCAGGCGGCATACCCAGGTATTTCTTCGGGAAAAACATCAAGAAACTCACGGACTATAGGTATCGTGTGAGCCACTTCCTCCCTTGCCTCCAAGTTCTCGACGGAACACAAGTACACATCATTGCCCTTGTCCATGTACCTCTTCATCTTTACCATAGACACCAACTTAATTCCGGGTTCTTCCATCTTTCCACGGTATGACACTCTCTTCCCGTTGGGTCCTCGTAGCACTACCTTCTGATCTTTGCACAAGATTTGGGCTCTAAACCGCCCCAACCAGTCCATACCTAGGACCACATCCATCCCGTCCAAGTCGTACTGGATTAGATCGCTCGGAAACTCTTCTCCTTTGATACAAATCTTGATGCCCTCAAAAAGACGGTCACACACCCTAACTTCTTCCTGACGCTACCTTCACATTAAACCTCACTCCCGCGCCCCCAGATAAGCCCAACTTCTTCACGAGGCCGGGTGATATAAACGAGTTAGATGCCCCTGAATCAAACAAGACTGTTGCTGGCACAGATTGCACGAGGAAGGTTCCCACTACTACGTCACTGTCACTTGTTCGGACTTCATTTAAGGTGAGCACCCTCTCTTGAGATGACCCTACCGTCGGATGATGAACCTCTATCTCTCCATACTCTCTTACATCACGGAGTACCGGCACAGAAGCTGCACTAGAACTTACTCTTGTGGACGTACCACTCCGAATCCACCGTTCAACTACCCCAGAAGCACTGCTAGATTTGGCCAACCGAGATCTCTTAACCACTTCACTCACATCTTCAAACACTGCGATTCGCTGGCGAGGAGGCATCACTAGACTTCTGCTACAACAACAAGGTTACCAAAAGAGCAAGCAAGACAGAAAGCAACACACATCTCACCGCGCAACCTAGAGTCCTAAGCCTAACACGTAGCTCCTTAAGGTCGCTTAGAGGTCTCAAAACACACTTAAACACTTAGAAAGTCTAGACTCAACTCTTCCTAGGCTCTAAACCAAGGTTCAAACCTAGGCTCTGATACCAACTGTAACACCCCCCAAAAAAAAACTAATTAAAACGAGTCTTAACACCTGCAGATCAAGCACAAAACTAGCACAGCGGAAGATAAAAGGATAACTGGATAAAAGGAATCCAAAACGGGGTGTTATGCCACGTATACCACGCTAGGTATACGCTACGGCGACAATCTGCAAGTGTAACACTATCCCAAAAACAACCAAACTAGAACAATCTAAAGACATTGGCACACAGGCCTCAACAACACTGTCTAAAGATACAGGTGCTAAGCTACCGGCTCTAGACATCGCGCTCGACTACGCATCACCTGAAATATACAAAGATAAACATCGGGGCGACGCCCAGTCAGCGAAAGATGTTGGTAACCCACCAATACCGTAAAGTATCATAAATAGGTAGATATATAATATGAAAACCATTTTCGAAACGGAATACATATATATAAGTCAAAAGCCAAGATCAAAAGACAACACAAGACTCACCACTCACAAGGACAAAACCGGGAACACATCCCAAACCACAAAGGTTAACCACACACAAGGATAAAGACTCACCCAACGGCAACACATGCCAAAACACACCACAAGCCTCCGTGACTACACACGTCACGAGAGAAGAGAACTCACCACAACAACGGCTTCACAAGCCCTCGTGACATCACCCATCACGAGTTGATATGCCTTCCTTATGCCCTGTTCCAACCTTATAGGCTACCCCCAACCTTGTACCTTCGGTGCCAACCATTACCTCCAGAAAGCCCCTGTACAGCCAAGTCCAACCTTATTCCTCCGGGACCGTCGTCCCCCACCTATAACCACCAACGAAAACCCACCAATTCACGGCAACACAATGCCCGGATAACATAATGTTATCCCCCAAACACGTGGGACTCAGCCACAACTCCATGAAATCATGTCACGGCCACCACGAGGACCACTGCAATACCATGGTGACTAGCGTCCCATACCACTAATCGTGCAATCCAGGTAAAGCCACACACGCACCACCACTCACACGAAACAAGCAACGGATTGCAACAGAGGTACGAAACATACTCAAATAAGAGACAGGTCACCACCCATCGACAACAACGACGCTAGCATTAGGATAATAACTAGCAAGCTCAACAACGAAGAAACTCAAGATAGTTCCGAGGAACACACAAGACACCACACGGTTCAACGAAACACAATGTTGAACACTTAGCACGATACACAACAACAAAGATCCTACATAGATACCTACCAAAAGCTCTAGACCTACGAAACATCAAGAAGACGCTCAAATAGTTCCACAAAAGAACAACGGGAGGCCAAAAGATCAAAGACCAAGACAAACAAAACACGGGGAACAAATCCCACTCCAACATCACTGTGTTCCCCGCGGGTGGACCCACGGGTAGGCCACTACCCGTGGTTCTGCCCACGGGTACAACACCCACATTCCCGTGTACCGGCGGGTGGGCGGCAGGTAAGGCTCTCCCCGCCGTTCCGCCCGCCGGTACACGCTCCTGTATCAAACAATCCCTTCAGGGATTTTCTCCTTCAAACACAAATTCAAGTCCAAAACATGCCAAATCTCACCAAGGCACAACAAAATGACTTGAACCAAGGAAAATGCAAAGCAATGGCACTAAAGGAAACCTAAACACAAGCTCTAGATATGCAATATCACAAGATAAATGCATAAACTCTCACATTTCATAGCAAAACACAAGTAGAAGCTAAGAAATCATATATAGGTAAGCAAAATAGGTTTTGTAGAGCATGGGTTACCTCTTGAAGACCAAAAGACTCTTCTTACACCACAACAAGCTCTCCACTAAGCTCACTAGCCAAACCCACTTCAAGATCAAACCAAAAGATCATAAAGATCCAACCTTTAAGAAAAGACAACTAAGATGGAACCAAAAAGACTAGACAAGCTTAGATCTTACCCTTCTAGATGCCAAAATAGAGGAAAGATTGAATCTTGGAAGCAAAACTTGGAATCTTGACAAAGGCTTCTTTTGGCTTGAAGAATAAGCTACTCTTGTTTTCTAGAGAGAAGGTAGAGATATTTTCTAGGAAATGTAAGGGAATGAAATGAAGAAGTCTTCTAGGTTTAGGTTACAAAACAAGCTCTTGGTGAAAAGACAAGGATACCCTTACTAACTCTTAGAAAGTGTAAGGAACAAGGGAACTCCTCTCAAAGCACAAGGTACAACACCACTTAAGGATTGACTAGTCAAATACTAGTCCTTGAGTATCAAAAATCAGGATTTTAGGAATCAATTCCTCAAAAGAAATAGAATTAATTACTCAATTATTTCATGGTTTGGAGTGTGGATTTTTGGGGTGTCACAACGGGTGGGGCGGCGGGTAGGCCACTGCCCGCCGTTCCGCCCACGGGTACACCAACTGTACAAAATAATCCCTTCGGGGATTTTTAACTCCAAGCCCTAATTCAAGTCCAAAACATGCCAAATCTCACCAAATACAACAAAATGACTTTGAATCAAAGGAATAGCCAAGCAATGGCATACATGAACCCTAATAACAAGCTCTAGATATGCATTTTCACAAGACAATGCATAAACACTCACATTTCATAGCAAAATCACATGTAGAATCCAAGAATCATCAAATAGGTAAGCAAAATAGATTTTGTAGAGCATGGGTTACCTCTTGAAGACTCAACTTTCACCTTAAACACTTCACAAAGCTCTCAACAAGGTTCCCTTTCCACACCCACTTCAAGAACACACCAAAACAACATAAAGATTTCACCTTTATAAAAAGATACCTTAGAAAACACTAAAAACACAAGAGGAGCTTAGATCTTACCCTCCTAGATGCTCAAAAGTATGAAAGGTAGAATCTTGAAGGCAAACTTGAAAGATCTTGGTAGCCCTAGGTGTGGCTTGGAAAGAAAGGTAACTAGCTTTTAGAGAGAAGAGAGAGAGCTTATGATTTTTCTCTTGGAGAGTGTTTGAAGAAATGAAGTGTGTCTTCCTAGGTTAGCTTGAAAGACTATTGCCAAGGAAATGTCTTATTTACCCTTACTAAGATGAAATGTGTAAGGGAACAAGGGAACAACTCACAAAGCTTTAGGTACAACTTTTGACTTTGGGTTGACTAGTTGTAACACCCCCTTTTTTCAAAACTTTAGGTACAACGATGAAAGTGATATGGTTTAGGTTTAGGGAAATTGTTAGGATAAGGATTGTAGTAATTAGTATATAATAGGACTCTACAGTAATTAGTAATCTGAGAAAATTTTAATTTTTTTTCCCTTTTATTTAATTACAACACATTGTTTAAATTGCGAAAGCTAAAACAAAACGAGGGAATAGGGGATGCTACCGCCACGTTCAGGTATTCCTCTTATACCCAAACGCTAAGGCTAAAAACAATTAATTAACTAAAACAACTCAAAATTATGAACTAGTACATTAACAACTAACAATTCAACTGTCTAACTAATAAATGATATCTGTAGGTGGTTCACTCATTCTCATGTCCAATGCTCGTGCAAGAGTTCCTGCAAAAACAATTAAAGAATAGAAAACAAAGAAACACACAAATTCAGCCTTAAGCTTGTGAGATCTACTTCACCCCATAAAACATTTTTGCACATAGCACATAGGAGCAAATAATTGGCATATAGCATACACGCTTTAAACATTTAATCTTTTATTATCAATAGAGGATAATCATATAGAACATAACTCAAATATGAAATACTCAGAATTTCCAACAACCATAATTTCCCAATAATACTCATAATTTTTAATACCAAATGAGTAGTTCTCACAATGGATATTTTAGGAACCTTTCAAAAGTAATATTTTTTTTTCCAACATAGAGGAACACCAATCTCAATGCAATGGGCAGGGTCTTGTTTCATCAAGCCCTAGTGAACAGTAATCACCATAATGAACACTACACAAAATCTCATTCAATCTCAAATAATGGGCAGGGTCTTAATTACTTAAGCCCTAGTGAACAGTAATTCTCTTTACTGAACACTACTCAAAAATCCCATATAAACCAACCAAATGATGGGCAGGGTCTTATTCAATAAGCCCTAGTGAACAGTACTCACTCAACTGAACACTACGCAAAAATCTCATATAAGTGGAACAGAACTAATACCATAAGTGTGCACACCCCTAATGGGTTTCCAAGCCCAATGGGTAGTAACTAGTCCTAGTAGCCAGGATACGTTTCTACTGACTACTACTCAACAGGGTAAATACCCTAGTGGATAGACTCCGCTAACCACTCCTCAAAATACAACAGGACTAAAAGTCCTAGTGAGACAGGATATGTTTTCACTGCTCACTCCTCAAAATTACAGAGAGTTTTTAGGCTCCCTAGTGAGTCGGTATATTCAACCGCTCACTCCACAACAAACTGGATCTTACCCAAGTATCCAGAATTTCATAACAGGATACTACACAATGCTTAAGGATCCATTTTTCTTTATCCCTCATCCCCCATATTTATAAAAATGATAACATTACTGATATTTCTCAAGCAAGCAAATTCTCAACACCTCAAATAAGAAACTGACAGAAATTTTCAGAATGTATGACCTGAATTGCAAAATTTACCAAGAACAATCGGTAACACATTTTAATATGAAATTTTCCAGATAAGAAGTACAAAGAGTCTAGACTACACACACAAAATTTCAAGTCAATCCAAGGCCTAGAAGTATTTTTACCGAAATATTTCCCAACAATGCGCCAAACAGAAATTAAACTGGCAGTACACTGCCTCAACTTTACGAAATTTTTCTGGAAAAACCGAAACATATTTTTAACCAAAACTTTTTATAAACATCAAATATAACAAGTCTAGGTTATCCATAAAAACTTTCAAGCAAAAAGAAGCTTTAGGAAGCAATTTTCATGAATTTTTCTTTCCAGCTGCGCCAGTCAGAATTTTCTCAGGCAATGATCAAATTCTGTAAAATTTATCCTTTTTAATCACCACAAAATCACCACATCACATATGCAGGGATTTCAAAACATCTAAACTCATATATCTACTCACATAATATGACCAAATAACTTACAACACCAAATATCATCAATTTTTCAAAATCATGAATCAAATAAACAATTAGTAAAATCAGTTTTTGATTTGGGGTAAAAGGATTTTAGTGAACATAAATCTTACCTGGATTCTAAAATCAACTAAGCTCTTTAATCCCTACGTGGAACCTGATGATGAGTGCGGGAGAAGACCAATGATAATTGAAGAAGAAAGCTACGATATTTTTCCCTTTTGTGTTCGGTGATATTAGGGGAATGGGAAACGATGAAAGTGATATGGTTTAGGTTTAGGGAAATTGTTAGGATAAGGATTGTAGTAATTAGTATATAATAGGACTCTACAGTAATATATATATCTATTTCCAGCCACTGAGTTAGGAAGTAACATAGCTAATAATAACTAATTACTTTAGGTTTATTTAATATATGTAATAAAAACATATTAGTTTTAGAATTTCAAGATTAGTTATTATATTATATTAGTAATTAGTAATACGAGTTTAGGAAAATATTTAAACTATCTTCATTATTAGGAAAAGTATATGCCTTTACATATTATATTTGGATTAGGAAGCTATTAGGCTCAAAGAATAATATTTCTACAATAATAGGGATTAGGAGACTCTAAATAATTTAGTCACGTACGCACATACGGTCTTCGTACAATGCCCAGAAAATATGGGGTATCACACTAGTCAATTACTGGTCCCCGACTATTGAATTTTTAGGAATTTAAGGAATTAAATTATCAATTGAATTATGATTAATTACTTGATTAATTCCTTAATCGAATTTGGATTACGGGGTGTCACATCCTCTCCCCCTTCAAAGAAGCTTCGTCACCGAAGCTTGGGTACGACGAGTTATAACAACGGTGAAATGAAACAGCAATGTGACAAGAGTGTCAAGAACATCCATCTTTTGGTCAAAACACAGAGGATTTACAAGACATCAAAGCAAGCAAGAAGGTATATCAATACAAGGATTGAAAGAATTTAACCAACGGAGATATTGAGCATATCAAACTCTAAACCAAACACAACAAACCAACTTCTATCCAACCACCAAAGTCTAAGCCTCTAACTTCTAACACAAACCACTAAACCAACAAACCCACCAATCAAGCAAGCAAAGCAAACACACGAAGCAAACCGCAACAACTAGCAACGGTAAAACGAGGTACATGCCGAGAACAACTATGGATAACGCTCCCTCTTGGTTGATTCCATCTCCCAAGTAGTTTCTTCTATGCGTGATGTGACCACCAAAACTTTACCATCTTCACAGACTTCCTACGCGTATCCCGGGTTTTAAAATCCAGGATCTTGAGCGGCCTTTCTTCATAAGACATATCATCGTCCAAAGGAATCACTTCCGGTGGTAGAACATGTGTCGGGTCGTGAGCATATTTCTTAAGCTGAGATACGTGGAAGACATTATGGACTCGCTCCAGCTCCATAGGTAAAGCCAACCGATAAGCTAGATTCCAAACCCTCTCAAGAATCTCATAAGGTCCTATGAAACGGGGGCTTAGCTTGCCCTTCCTTCCAAAACTCATCACTCCCCGGGTGGGAGATACTCTCAGCCAAACCTTATCTCCAACCGCGAACTCTACTTGCCTTCTTGCTAGGTCGGCGTAGGATTTTTGACGATCTTGTGCCGCTTTCATCTTTCCTTGAATCTATTTAACTTTTTTTGCGGTGTCAAGCAAGAACTGCGGTCCCAAAACTACCGGATTGACCATATTCTCCTAGCACAACAGACTGCGACACTTTTGGCCGTAAAGAGCTTCATAAGGAGCCAAGCGTATACTCAAGTGATAACTGTTGTTGTAAGAGAATTCTATTAAATCTAGGTGATCCTCCCATGATCCTTGAAAATCAAGCATGCATGCTCTCAATATGTCCTCGATAGTCTGAATAGTCCTCTCTGTTTGTCCGTCTGTGGCCGGATGGAAGGCGGTACTGAGATTTAGCTTGGTTCCCAAGGCTGCTTGTAAGGATTTCCAAAACTGCGATAAGAACCTTGGATCCCGATCGGAGACTATATCCCTTGGTACTCCATGATATTTCACTACATGACTAACATAGGCTTGGGCCAACTGCGTCATTGTCCATGTTTCTTTCATCGCGATAAGGTGAGCGGTCTTGGTCAAGTGATCAACTATTACCCGGATTTTATCCTTAGCGGAACGGGTTACCGACAAGCCTCCCACGAAGTCCATAGATATGGAGTCCCATTTTCCTTGTGGAACCTCCAACGGTTATACTAAGCCTTTGACCCTGCAACGCTCCGCTTTCACCTTCTGACAATTCAAGCATCTGCCCACGAACTCCGCTACCTCCTTCTTCATGTTAGGCCACCAGAAAAGCTTCTTCACGTCTTTGTACAATTTGTCGCCTCCGGGATGCACCGAGAAAGGTGTATTATGGCCTTCTTCCAAAATCTAACGCTTCAACCGATCACATGATGTAGGTACACATAAACGACCCTCGTACCTCAATTCTCCGTCCGTGGACAACTCAAACGGTCCCCCCCCCCCCCCTTCCTTTTGCCAGATCGTCTCTTGCCTTCATCAAGCTAGCATCCTTTAGTTGTTCCGCTTTGATCTCCTCCAAAAGCGTAGGTACGACTCTCAAGTTGAAAAGATGGGCTTCCGACTCGACTTCACCTTGTTCCACCACTTCTAGGTTCATCCTTTGGAACTCCTTGCAAAGCTCGTCAGCCACTACCCAAATGGAACTAACGGCATGTTTGGTAGTCCTGCTCAGAGCGTCCGCCACAACATTTGCTTTCCGTTCGTGATATTTTATGTCCAACTCATAGTCTTTAATGAGTTCCAACCACCGTCTTTGACGCATGTTGAGATCCTTTTTTGTGAAGATATAGTTGAGGCTCTTGTGGTCCGTAAAGATCTTACAACGCACACCGTAAAGATAATGCCTCCTGAATCTTCAAGGCGAAAACTACGACCGCCAACTCTAAATCATGCGTGGGGTAGTTCTCTTCGTGCACTTTAAGCTGTCGCGAGGTGTAAGCTATCACTCTCCCATTTTGCATCAGCACACAACCTAGTCCTTTCTTGGATGCATCGCTGTAGACCTCGAATCCTTCTGTCCCGGATGGTAAGACCAGTACTGGTGCAGTCGTGAGTCTCTCTTTCAACTCCCGGAATGCTAACTCGCAAGCTTGATTCCATTGGAAAGGCATGTCCTTCTTTAACAGCTTTGTCAACGGTTGAGCCACCTTAGCGAAGTCCAACACAAACCTTCGGTAGTAACCCACTAGTCCAAGGAAGCTTCTTACTTCCGCCACAGTCGTCGAAACGGTCCACTCCTTCACCACCCGAATCTTATCCGGGTCCACCGAGATGCCTCTGATGTCTATCACATGGCCCAAGAATGCCACGATATCCTTCCAGAACTCACATATCGAAAGCTTGGCGTACAACTGCTTTTCTCTCAGAATCTGGAGTACT